GAGTGAAACTAATGAGTGAACAAGTCTAACCTGCAAGGTGGTGTCACTTTTGAGCAATTTCACGTAGGTGTTAACTCTCTTTGCGGAAGTTCTTTTCATCTTTACCTCACGCTCCGTGTGAGAAAAAAGTCGTACGGGTTCATTGGACTTTAGATCGTCCTCCCCACAGTCTATGAGAAACAATCAGAAAAGACGGCTTTCCATCCGCAAGCCTCATAAGACGCCGTTAGTTCACATTCAATTCTCCAGCCTCTTAGGCAGACGACTCCCTTTTTTTTTAATGAAAACATGAGATTAGTTGGATAACTGGTGCCGCCGACTCCCGCCCTTTAGGCGGACGACTCCCAATTTTTTTAATGAAAAAAAAAAAAAAAATTGGCTAAATTGGTACGACGACTCCCGCCCTTTAGGCGGGCGACTCCCATTTTTTTTAATAAAAAAAATTAAAAATTCACCATTGAAATTAGGACGACGACTCCCCTTTTTTTTGGGGGAATTGGAAGAACGACTCCCGTCCGACGACCCCCCGACCAAAACGGGAGTTGTCGACTAATTTTTAGGAGTCGTTTTTCCAAGCCCCAAAGGATAATGCAATACAATACAAATTGAAGTGGGCCAGATGAGGCCAAAAGCATCCCAAACTGGCCAGAATCAGCCTCATTTTGGGCCAATAACCATCATTGGTATGGTGTCCAGTCATCATCTCTGATAACAGGGGTTTTCCCCATCCCTTGTTATTTCTATTGTAGTGGGGGCATTGAGTAATAAGCAATGCACATATTATCATCATATTTGTGACACTTCACAATGTGCAACGGTGGGCCGCTACGCTACACTACGCTATTTGGCCACTAACTGTTAGTGTAGCGGCCTTTTTTTTCTCTGGAAAATCTGTAGTGTTAGCTACCGCTGAACACCACTGAGATAACAGCCAGCGTAGCGTGATTTTTCTCTCTCAAATTTTCTGTAGTGTTAGTGTCAAATAATCTCCACTAAACTAACCAATAGCGTAACTTTTTTTACACTAACAAAATTTCCGCTAAACAGTAGCGTAACTGAAATCAAGTTAACATTTAGTTTAACTCATAATAAGTCCAGCTACACTACGCTACACTACACATGTAGTTACGCTACACTACGCTACACTACACATGTAGTTACGCTACACTACAGTAGAAGTTACACTACATATGTAGCGTAGTGTAACTGACCACTCAGAAAAATTAATACGCTCAGTGGGAATTGAACCCATGACCCAAAAGGATTGCGCTGGCATGTGGTCTGGGAGTACTCCGTAAGCTCCTCCCAGACCACATGACTAACGCTACCCTGAGAGTAGTGCCTGATTGGGGGGCCTTGATCCAGATCCCTCCATTTATCTTGATTTTTTTTCTCAGTTGGGAATGGGGGCCACTGCAATTTGAGCCCCCTTCTGCTTCGAGATTTTTTTTACTGTCTTTCATGCGAACTCTCAACACTTGACCACTCTACTCACTCATCTCTCAATCCCTCAGCTTCCTACCTCGCCTCCCTCATTACCATTCTGCTACCCTCTTCCATTGAAAACCCTAGGCAAAAAAAAGTATCACAAACAGGTAAGTGATCATCTTTTTTCACTACCCTTTGCTTTAATATGCTGACCACTACCCTCCCTCCCAGCTACCCTCTTTGTTTGTTTTGTTGGGTCCGTGTTTGTCCAGGCCAGTACCGGTAAGCCACCCTCCCCCTTTCACCTCTCTGCTGCTACCCTTTCCCCTTCTCAGCTGCCCTTCATTCCCTCCCTGCTACCCTCCACTACCTCCCAGCTACCCTTGTGATCATTTAAACAATCAAGCGATCGTTTAAACGATCAAGCAAGCGTTTAAACGATCAAGCAAGCGTTTAAACGATCAAGCGATTGGTTAATCAATTGCTTGATCAATTA